ATTAATTTGTTTATTTTTTAGCTCCCACCAATGAGTGAGAACATGTGGTATTTCTTTTTCATCATATCAAAAAATTATCATGGGAAACTTCAATTCTAGTGGTTTTCAAATTTTCTTAAGCAATAAGATCTGTTTAAAAATCAAATTTAGATAAAAGTAGAGTTTTTCTGGCTGGAATGGGGATTGGAGAAAGGACTGGAACCCCTTCACACACCCTATCACAGCTCACAGCTTTCAACAGAGAACAGTGTGAAAGCCATTGACTTACTTCTCACCTTCACTTTTGCAAATGAAGAAACTTAACACTCAGAGTGGTGAGGTGACTTGCCCATAGTTCACAGCTAATAGGTCATAAACCTAGAACTACCACCCAATTCATGCTGTTTTTTCCCGTGCAATCCTGCTGAAGATTCCAAACGTGTTTCCACATTTTAATTACAAGTGAGTTTTTCTTATTCCTTCTAAATGGATGACATTAAAAGACAATCATGGATGAGGTGTAGTATCTGTTATTGTCTCTGTGGTCCGTGTCCCTCCTAGTTATGATATTGCTTTATAAAAATTCTGATAATGGGTTCTGTGCAACGTTCAGATTAAAAGACCGGACAGCATATCAAAACCCACAATAGCAATGGGCCACTTACCCAATCACCCAATCTCATGCTTTATAGGAAAATAACTGGAGAAAAATAAAATAATACACACCTGTAACTACTCCTTTTCTTAAGAGTAAAATACGCACACGTATACCTCAGAATACAATGAAATCTGGCACTGAAAGGCAATCCTATGTATATAGGCTGTTTTCTGATTTTATAATTCATTCGCCATTTATTTTTTCATTAATTCAGTTGCAATGTGGTAGGCTCTGCAAATACAGAGATGAATAAGATAAAATCAGTTTATATCTTTATAGCATTTGTAGCCTCAGGTGTAAAAAACTGACAATAAACTAGAAAACAGTTAAGTGAGCAACATAACTATAGTCTATGGTAGTACTAGGAAGAAAAAAATGCAAAGTGATAAATTGGAATGGAACTAGAGAGCCCATTTTAGGCTTCAGGGTGAGTTGATTAAGGAAGACCTAAGGCAAGTTGAGACATGGAGAATGAGAAAGAGCCGTATGTGCAAGGTGCTGTGGGAATACCTTTCCAGGCAAAGGAGGTAGTGCACAGGACTGCAAGGTGGAGAGATATTTGGTGTGTTGAAGGTGATGAGTGGAGCCAGAGGCCAATAAATGAAGGAACGAATGTTATGAGATGAGGTTGGAGAGGTAGACTGGAGCCTGATGTTGAAGACCATGATCACGAAAAGGCCATAGTTACATTTTCATTCTGAGATGAATCAGAAATTATTAAAGGATTACATACTTATTTACCTACCTTTTTATCCACTCAGATATATATGCAATCTGGTTTTTTTTAGTTATCAATTAATCCATATTTAATTACCACTCAACAAAC